GGGCGGGGTGGGCGGGGTGGGCGGGGTGAGTGTGGGTAGGGGTGGGTAGGGGTGGGTGGGTGGGTATGTGCGGGTGTTTCTTCTTGCTCAGTGTATGTACTTGTGAGCACGGCCTGACCGAGGAGTCCCAGCTCTAGCTGCTTGGCCGCGCGGACGGTTATCTCCAGCTGCTGCGGCTGCGCGCCCAGGAGGTCGGGATCCCAAAGACGCACAAAGGCAGAGCCTGCAGAAAACTGCAGAATCGCCCCACGTTGGCAGAGTGGAATATGTCTGGAATACGAAACATGCCTGAAGGGCCTTGGGCGAGTGGTTTCAGAAACCATCGTTGAACTGCAGCTTTGGTGACATTGCATGGCGACCCAATCCAAAGCGCCTGCAGAAATCAAAAACACTTTAGAACTACAACTCAGGCATCGCAAAGTGCTTTCAACAGCTGGCACAGCTGGCAGACAACTCATCACCAGTCCACTCGTGAGGTCCCAGCTGGAATGCATGGCTGCACATCAGCATGACCACAGATTTCTGAAGCTTCAACGACCTCAGGCAAGGGCTCTAAACTCTGAAAGGTGGACCTGCCTTGAATGCCTAGCCCTGCAGACCCGCACAGGAGCCTCAAACATCTCCTCTGGCACTTCGAGGTGAGCCCGACCAGTTCCAAAGCCCGCTTCCAGCACGATGGATCTCAAGAATTGCAATGCAAGCAACCCAAAAAAACACGAAACATGATTGCTGTACAAGTGTTGTACTTGAGTTTCATAGTCAAGTTCCACTTAAGCCGTTAAGACAGTAATAGCCAGTTACATCAAGTTACATCAAGTTACATCAAGTTACATCAAGTTACATCAAGTTACATCAAGTTGCATCTCTCGCGGCCGGGACACAGGTTCTTGAACATAGCAAACCGTGGCTTCTCTGGATGGCCCGGCCAGCGAAGTTCCTTGTTAAGTTCAGTTACGAGTTCGTTTCCCAAGAGAGAGAGAGAGAGAGAGAGAGAGCCAAATGACACCAATATGACACCATGATACACCATGATACAATGTAAGATTAACAACATTAACTAGCAGGATCGAAAGCAAGAGCAGTTGCTCGAGAAGCCACCGGAGAACAGCGTCGACCGAAAGGACAGACAAGACTTGCAGCTGACTACCCAGTGCACGCAGAAAAAGGCAGCCAATCAATGAAGCATATGAAGAGTGAAACGAATTCATATGAGTGACGGACAACATTGGCTAGGAGAGTGAAAGGCCTTGTCGCTGTAGGTGGGGTCCATATCTCTTTTCGTACTCTGGGACCCATGGGACCATGCCGCAAAAGGTTGCTTCTGTAAGCCGGCTGGATGTTACTTGTTTTGTAGTACAAGCGTAGCACTAGAATCACTAGAGGCGACCAGCTGGATTCTCCATTGTTCCCCATCCTCAGTGTGGGGTTGTTAAACTCTTCTCCTCAGCCGGTGAGAAAGGTCTACTCCTCGCCCATTCCAGAGCATCGCCAGAGAATGCCTGGAGTGCCCTCGTGAACAACATAGTTTGTACCCCATAGAATGCTGTATCACAGCATTGGCCACGTGTCCAGCTTCCGGGCAACCACCACTCCCAGATCATCGCTGGGAAGTGGCAAGGCAGCAAGCGTGGCAGCCGAAGCGCAAAGGCTCGAGGGGGGCAGCGACACCTCTCAGTCTCAAAGGACACACCAAGATCTGTCCCAAGATGTGTTTGAAATGGTTCTCAATATGTCTCAATGTAGTTCTGAAGGGGGTCGGGAGTGTGGTCACGCGGCATGAGCCCTCAGGCCTCCAGCTTCAGCCGTGCTGTGGCGCCTACCGTGGCATCTCCCGGCACAACGAGAGAGGCCATCGAAAGGTCCTGTCACAAGAAAACACTGCCCTCCCTCCCCACTTTGCTAACAGTGCTGGCACGGTGCACCTAAGATAAAAACACTTCTGGGAGCCTCTTTGCTGGCGGACAGCCACGCCTGAATGTGGAAAGCAGCATGCAAGTGCGAAGATCAAGCCTTGGTCTTGAAGCCTTCTGAAACGGAACGGACAGCACATCCTTTCCGGTGGGAAGGAGCGACCAGCGGAGCCAATACTCAGATGCATTCAAGATCGTCCTGGTGCTGGGCAGATCTGGGCAAATGCCACCATGATTGAAACATGAATTGAAACAACATAGTGACTTAGTGTCCTTCCGAAAGCATCAGTAAAGCGCGCCCTGAAGGCAGTGTCTCTTCCACGCCTGATGGCCGTCATGCGGACATCTCACTGTCAATCCACTGCCACAAGCCACAATCGAAGCCACAATGTGCACAACGGCTTGGTCACCAACTGGACTCCAAGTACGTTCCCTCGATCCTGCAGTGACGCAACGACCCGGTTGGGAACCCTGCTGGTCGAGACATTCGAAACCCTGCCGCAACACTCTTACTGTAGCCATCCTTCTGCGCATCTGCAACCGAAAGAATGTCTACATCGTCCAGCTCAGCTGTCGCCTTCAACTCTCAAGAATGCAAGCTGGTGCAACATAGCACTTGTGGAACTTCAGACCGCACCTGCACCCTCGCTGGCACAGAGCAGCGGAGCCACAGCATTACACGGTCCACCTTGGAACATGATTGCTTAGCACATGCTCAGCACCCCTCCCCCCTCACTCGTCGGGATGCTTGCTTTCGAGCATGCCATGAATCCAAGCGACAAAAATCTCCCCATGTGCTGAATCCACCGGCGCATGCCTGGCAGCGCCGAACATGGATTCACTCCGCCACTCAAAGCCAAACGGACCCAAACAGTTTCAACAGGCCAGCCGCACCACACTTCACCAATAAGCCGCACAGGTCCTGCGCAGGGCGACTTCGACAGGGTTTCGCAATGTTTCGCATGCCAGTCGAAATATAACGACAGAAGGCCCCCATCTCACTCCTTCCTGCACACCAGCGCTGTGTCAGACAAGAAACACATGAAACCGTCATGTAACGTAGCAACACCTCTTTACCCCACATTTTTCTGAAGCAAGCCCGCCGAAACGAGAACCGCCGATACGAGAACCTGATCTTCTATAGCTGCCCGTGGCATTTTGTTCACGAAAACTTTATTTACAGGTAAGGCCTTGGTTTTGTAACTGAGGCGTTGGTGGGGCCCTCTAAGGATCATGCATGGACCCTTTATTGCCAATCTTTCTAGATCTCATTCAATCTCAAAACAGTGCTGTTGTCATCACAAGAGATCACTGACCCACCAAACTCAAAACACCAAGGATCCCAACAGACACTGAATGCTATGCATTTCTTCTTCCGCTGCAGATGACATGCTGCCCTCAACCCCAGCAAAGCACTCCCTCCCAACGCTGCAACTTTAAATCCGTGCCTTGGGTTTTAGGGACAGCGTGGGGATGTTCATATTTCTGCGGGTCCAGTCATTTACGTCACTCTACAAATCTCCTTTACGTCACATCTCCCAAGACCCGGACTGCGTCCTGGCATCACTTGCGTGCAGGTCACCTGAAAGCTGCGAGGTGTCAGGCGCTGCCTCGAGGTCAGTGTGTTGCACCCTGTAACACATACTCCGTGCGAATGTGATGACTATGCGAATGAACGAACGAATGAATGAATGGATGGATGAAAGAATTAACGGAATGAATGGAATAAACGGAACTTGAATGGAATGAATGAAACTCATGAAACGCGTTCAAACGTTCACCTCGGCCTCCGTCGCATTCCCCCTCTCCCCCCAATGCCCCAACAACCTCATTCCCCCCATCCCCCCCCTTGATAGGAGAGCCGCAATTTTCGCTTGGGGGAATCCAATCGCAGTTCGATGCGGGCCCCAGGCAATCTTGGGAGGCAATTGGGCGGTCAAGGAAGGAGACCCCATGACTGTGGTCTTCGCCTGACTCAGATCATGTCAGATACTGGGCTGTAGGTTTGAGAGGTTTTGGGAACGAGTGGACATTGAAATGGCCACCATGAAGACCCTGAAAGGCTGGAAGGCATCAAGGACTGGCATGCAAAACAAAATCCAAAAGCATACGCGTATACACCCACCCCCAAAAAAGCGCTACGTATTCGAGCTTAAGCTTCCGACACGCTGATGTGCGGTCCAGCGGTCAAGTTCCAAGTCTCACGTCCTCGCCAAAAACGTGCTGAGGCTGCACAAAGCTGCATAATCCATATTAATCTAATGGAGAATGATCTGCACACCTGGAACCGTCAGGCCCAGCGGGCCCTCCGCAATGCGCAGGCTGATGGAAGAGCAGGGTGCCACGACCTCACAAGCAGCAGCCAATGACGCTTGTGAACTTTAGCAGAATCTTGTAATATCTTGTAGTATCTTGTAATATCTTGTAATATCTTGTAATATCTTGTAATATCTTGTAATATCTTGCAATATCTTGTAATATCTTGTAATATCTTGTAATATCTTGTAATATCTTGTAGCAGGGCGTGACATAGCAGATCGTGGCTCAGACCGTGGCCAGTGGAGCAGTCTCATTACTTTCAGCTGCTGCTAGTACCTGGCGTGCCGTGCCCTGCCTCAGTAGATGATATGATATGCTGCCTTCTAGAAACTCGTCATCTGCCACGGCATGCAAAACAATGCAATATGTACACTCGTGTGGAGCACTTCGGCTGGGCTTGCAAGTCCCGATAGCCGTAGCAAGCGCCATTCCAGGGGTTTGTAAACCTCGGCGGCACATTACGTCTCGTGAGAGCTCATGCAAAGCCCGCTTTCCATTATTTTCACCTCGAAGGGCAGAGATGTTGAAGTGAGCGAACGAGGTGCATCGGCCTGTCACACAATGTGTACAGAGATGGATGACTTCTAAATGATCCGCACACTGCCAGCTCACTGGCAAAGCCACCTCCTGTGCGCTCGCCACGAGCTGAAAGCGCCCAGGTGCACGAGGCCTGGCTTCACGCTTCACACTTTGACTGCTCATGACTATGTGGGTGGTTGTCAAAACTATAATCCCTTGTGGGGTACCCTAAATATTAGGTTATAGGGCTCCAAGTAGGGACCATAATTTCGACAACCACCCATGTGACTATGTGGCTACGCGATACGATACCATGTGCAATGTGGAGGCTCGTCGCCTCAGACGAAGCACTGCGCATGTTGCAAAATCGCCTGCGGCAACGCTAATTGCAAAGGTGCCAGGCAATATGAATAACGTGAGCCACCGCCCACCACATTCCCCCTTGGGTGTCTGGAACATAAACACAACAGTGGCAACCATAAGGGAGGCAAGCGATGAGACGTCAGAGCTGCAGAGGTTCGCCCGAAGGCCTGAAGACGTGGCCAAGACAGAGGCCACCTGCATACCGCAATGCCGCAAACATCCGCAAGAAAACATCTCATGGCGATTTCGGGCTCAATCACTTTAAAGCATCTCACAACATCTCAGGAGGCTGCAGTCTTATTGGAGACTTCTGGCACAAGCTGGTCCGTTGGGAAGAGTGCCGAGCCTCGCCGAGGACCACTAAGCTTGGGATGCTTGGGACGCTTGGGCAAATTTCATAAGGCCGAGATGCAGTTCCAGAAGCTCAAATTTCCTTGGAGCGGGTACATTGGGTTGTACACAAAGTACAGTTTCACCAGCTCAGCGGGAATCGACGCAAAGGCGCAACCACAGGCGGTGCCTCGCAACTAACTCTCTTTAACTGCTGAAGCTCGAAGAAGCTTGCAAAGATCGGCATCCTGAGTGTCTTGATGTGGCAAAGTCAATGTCTGTCACATCCTGTCGCTGTTAAAACTTGCCCAAGGTCCCGACATCCCCCTCCTCGGGCCGTGCTTGCACCCGCACAACCTGCAAGGTATAGAAGCACACGAGCAGTGACTAAGTGACTAACTCACTTCCGACTACCCCTAGAGCCATACTTCGCAGGGACTGCGTTTGGAGATTTTGGAGAAGTATGGAGCGCAGGTGCGCCAAGTGGCCTCCTCCACTGGGGGACCCGGCGGCAACCGAATCTGCAAGTAGCGAGGCCTGCAGAACTTCACAAGATGCTGCATCAAGCACAAGACACAAGAGCGACTCGAACTTTGACAAAGAGTACAATGCTAAATAATAACGTTTGCGATGCCACACCTCTCGCAAAGATTCACAGTGCATACACACAACGTCAAGTTACATGAGAGCATTGCCGGTGCTTCTCTCAAAGCTCTGGCAAGACGCAACCGAAAGGAGCTATGCGGCTAGGGGGATTTGCGTGTGCTGAAGAGCACTGAGAGATGCAGCTGAAAAGAGCTCAGCGGCCAGTGTTGGCCGCCGGGCGGCGCAGGACGACAGGCTCCGTCACTTCAAGCGGCATCTTCAGCTGGTCACGGAGCTTGGCGTCGAGGTCGGAGTGCAGAACTTCAAAGCTTATCAGGAAGTGGGGCTGGAAGCGGACGGGCTGGATCGGTGCCGCCGGAAGGCCTCCAAAGCTTGCCCCGGCATTTCCGAAAGAAGGTGTTCACTGGGATCTCGATGTTGTTTCCTCGGCAGGTGGGCACCCCACGCTCCTGCCAATCTTGCCAAGCGCGGCAGACCATGAACGCGTAGTCCTCCACCTTGCGTTGCAGAGCAAGGACGCGGGGTACCTCTGGTAGGCGATGGAGTGGAAGCCGCTTTCGACTTCCCAAGCGTGCGCCTCATGGCTGAACAGCAGCACCTTCACTGCGCGCCCATCTGGCACTGCAGTGGGTACTCCGGCTCGAAGCGCAAGAGGGTCTACACCAAGCACATGTCTGGCACTTGCTCGATATGCAACACGCCACTGGAGAAGTTCTTGTGGTGCCTGGTCGGCGAGCTGGTGCAGCCGGCCCTGCCGAAGCAGAGACCTTTCAAGACTCCCTGCTAAGGTTGAGGACGACCCCCCGGAGGAGCCCCTGCAAAAGTCCCTGGCGGCACTGGAGCCGGTGGCTGGCGCCATGCAAGTCTGCACGCGCTTCATGGAGCGGGAGATGGACAAGAACCGAGGTAGCCCGCCCAGGCGCCCGTCCGTCAGCTCGGGAGGTTCGGGATGTCCTCCACGTTGATGACATCCTGTGCTTCCGCTCCTGTCCTGGGGGCTCCTGCTTCTACCCTGCGCTGGTGTTGGAGTTGCAGAGCATGTGGCCTCACGCCCTGTCTGCTGAGGCTGCTGCTGCAAGAGTGATGAGAGCATTTCACGGGCACTCTCCCCCTCTTGCCTCACCGTGGTCTGGAAGGCCGACGCCAGCTCTTGCACCGTGGTCTGGAAGCTCTGGGCAAGCTGCTTCAAGAAGATCGCGGTGAAGACTCGGTTCTTGTCCATCTCCCGCTCCATGAAGCGCGTGCAGACTTGCATGGTGCCAGCCACCGGCTCCAGTGCCGCCAGGGACTCCTCCAGGGGCTCCTCCGGGGGGTCGTCCCCAACCTTCACCAGGGAGTCTTGGAAGGTCTCTGCTTCCTGAGACGGCAGGGCCGGCTGCACCAGCTCGCCGGCCAGGCACCACAAGAACTTCTCCAGTGGCGTGTTGCACATCGAGCAAGTGCCAGACATGTGCTTGGTGTAGACCCTCTTGCACTTCGAGCCGGAGTACCCACTGCAGTGCCAGATGGCCCAGTTGCCGGCCTCGCCTTGTCCCGGCTGTCGCACTGGTTGCAGGCTTCGCTCCCGATGGCACTACCCACACTTGTCTGGCAGCTCTGCCGCGTCCATGTCCTTGAACAACCCACATCCACAGGCATTGCAGAAGACAACTAATGCATCTGCCATCTGGGTCTCGCTGTTCGCTGAGACTGACATGCTCTCTACCCTACACCCAGGAAACCCTCAGCTGCCCTCTTGGACAAGTGCAATGCTGCGCGTCACAAGCTCACATGCATTCAGCAAGCGATTAAAAAGACTCACATCGAGCGCATCGGGCGCCCATTTTCACGGCGAAAGATAAGTGCAATGGCCGGTCCTTGGTTCCTTTCCTCAATCCCTCTCACTCTCACTTTGACACTTTGTCTGCCTTCACCTGGGTGGCCTTTGCCCGATTCCCGGATTCCTTGTCGCTCGCAATCTCCCTTCGGGTGGGACTTTTGCCGGCTTCCTGGATTCCTGGTCTCCATTTGTCTCCCTGGTCTTCCCCGGTGAGCATAGAGAGTCAATAGTCCTCCCCGATTTTGTTTCAGCATGACGCCGAGTTTGTGTCGCAGTCCACTATACAAAGTTGCTGATTTCTCTGCGCGCTCGGCTGACCAAGACCGTGCCACATCCCTGTTGACTGTCACCTGTCAAAACCAAAGCGCTGGGGCTGGCGCAAGAGTCGAAGGTGGCCAGCACGTCTCACCAACACTGGCAGGGTGAAGTTGTTGTCTGGGTTCCTGGCATCCAGCCTACTAACTTTCCTAAATGAATATGCCATGCAAACGAACTCAATCCCAACACCAGCTCCTCATATCAGAAACACGGAGCTCAGCATTGCCCAGCTGCCCGAAAGCCTGCCGATGCAGCTACTGGGCGACCAGGCATTCCAGTATCACAACTGCGATCAAACAAACAAGAAATATCTGGCTCAATGCCAGCTGGTTTCTGCGAAAGACAAGCCAAGAACGCCAAACGCCAATCCATCCTGCAATCAAAGAAGCCCATGTACTGCAATCAAACCAGCATTCCTTCTTTCCTGAAACCCTGTGGAGCTTCCATATGTGGTTATGTCCAATCAAAGCTGGATCCGACCACTTTCTATTAACAATCAACTTGACGACAAACGGAGTCGCAAGTCTCACAAGAAAGCAAGAGCAAAACACATTCAAAACCTTCCGAAATCTGAAATTGGTGACAGTCAGGCACTACTCTAACCTCCCGGCCTGCACGCGGCCTTCGGGAGACACACTTGCAACGCCCGTTGGATGCAACTGGGTCAGAGTAAATGCCTTCAAGAGCATGACACAAGCTTGAATGCCTCACTCGCAGATCATCGAAAGATTGCATGTGCCTGCTGGCCGCTTCCTCCCGAAACCTGCAGCAAGTAGGAGTGCCACCTGGCTGTTGAAGGTCGAAGCATATCGAAGCTCTCTCCTTACGAATCTCTGCGCCTCGGCAGAAGCATGGGCCCCGAAATCGGCACCAATGGTCGTAGCTCCGGCGCCACGTGAAAGCCCTTCAACGCGGATTCCAAGGATTCAAGTCTTGCATAGTGTTGCAGCAGATGTCATCAATGCTCAGGGCCTGCTTCGCTCTGAGCTTCAACGCTAACGTCTTAAGACCACGGGCCTGAAACGTGCCATGCCAAACGGCCGAAGCAGAAGCTAAGCCTCAAGGATGTTTCAGAGCACCTGGTCTTCACTATCGGCTTGGAGAGTCAATTCCTCGATGACGATGCTGCCCTGAGGTGCCATCTCAACTGCATCCATCATCCAGTCCGGCTTCACGCAACCGCCTCGCCCAGCTCCACAGCACGGAATATGATCACAGCAGAATTGGAGGCCTGAAGAGCCCGGATGAGTATGAGCACAGGAGAGCGGCACAACAATCAACGACTGGATTCCTGGATAAAGTGGGCTCAAACCTTGCCTGGTGAAGGAGCTGCAGAAGCGGCGCTCCTTCCGCCTCCTTGTGGACCAAACATGTTACATGCACTGCACTGCACTGCGCATGACAGGTCATAGAATTGCGATCCCAACAAGCAAAACGCATCCTGGCAGGCACTTCTCAGAGACGCACAACCACGCTACGCCATGACCCTGGTATTCAACTGCTTCTGTACGGCACATACGGAACCATACCTTCTGCACGGCTAGTGTTGAACTTCATCTTCAGCGTTCTACGTCGGGCACGCACTTGCAACGCAAAGCACGAATTCTGCAATCGGTGCTCTTTGAGTGCAGAAATGTGCAGGGTGCAATTAGGTTACGCAGAACATTAAAACAAATCCGTGCAGATCACACCATGTGCAAACCAGGGCACCACACATCGAGCATGCGCTCGAAGATTCAAAGGGATCTGCCTTGTAAGCAGCAAGTAAAACATCTTTGATTGCTGCTGGCAATGTTTCGACCATGCTCAACCGCTGCGCAGTGGCATCGGGCGCGAATGATTGTCCAACAATTCCAGCTTGAGAGCGTATGTCCTGTGGCCACATTGCTCTCTCTTTTCACCCAGCACTAAACCAAGTCCATTCCATGCCTGCCCTGCACAAGGTGCAGCTGCGGCTCTGCCTGTGCAAATAACGAACTTCTTGTGCAAAATCAAGAGAGCCTGTTGCCCACCCTCCCCTGAAGCAAGTGAGGGATCAAACTAGACGGCGGGTGTCCCGAAATCGTTGCACGTGAAAACACAAGCTTTGGGTGATCACGTTGACCAGGTGTGGAACGCACGGAATGAAGCTAAGTGGAAATCATCAACGGGGCAGCTAAATGAAGCAGAATGAAGCAGAAAAGGGTGGTGAGCAAGCGCGGCAGCGATAGTGAAATAAAGTGAAGCGGAACTTTGACGAACTTTGAAAACTTTGCGCTGCAACTTAAATCGGACATTGCAGACATTAGGGAAAGCCTGCAAGTCAGACAGACGTTGAGCAAACAAAGCTGCAATGACGCGGACTGGAGGCAGAAGCGACGACAAAATGAGAACGAGGCGCAGAGGAAGAGATGATAACAGAAGAATCCAGAAGTGAAGCAGAAATCCAGGACGGAACGAAGCCCAGGAAGCAATGGAGCAAGAAAAGCCTGATGAAGCTTGAATTTGCAATGGGGCACGTGTGAGGTGGAAATTCAACATGTAGCCTGACAGACGCCGCGCGCCAGTCGCAGATCAAAATCATTCAGTCCAGTTTGCATCCATTGCCTCACGAGTACACTCCAACTGAAGGTGTAAGCCAGAGGAAGGAAAGCAAGCAAGTTACAAGACGGCACAGACGTGAATCGTCGAAACCTTGGCGGAACCTGCAAAGGGGAGATTGTTGCTAAAGTATATAACCGACATGAAGAGATCATAAAGCAAAGCCGAGAAATAAAGCTGAGATGATGCGGAAGTGTGCATGGCATGGATTGCATCAGGAGTAGTGAGTAGCGGTTGAGTAGAGGCTGAGTAGCGGCTGAGTAGCGGCTGAGTAGCGGCTGAGTTGCTGCTGAGTAGCGGCAACTTGGGAAGGCTGCGGGTGCTTCTGCACTAGCCCCAAAATCACCACGCTATTGAGTGATTGAATGAGCTTATCTTGGACTACAATGATTACACGCCTGAGATGGCCAAAAGCAATTAATCACTTGTTACAGGTCTTTAGTATGTTCGTCCGAGAACCAAACAAAGTACGCACCGGTCCGTTGGAATGCGCTCCACACGAAAACATCACACAAAGTTCCTTCTAAGAGGAGGCACTCATCAAAACTATGAATAGTTGATGCGAATAGTTGGTGTTGATATCCCTCTCTCTGAAAATGTTGGAACGGTCTTCCTTGGCAAGGTACTGAAGAGACTCCCGCGGCATCGGAGCGCGCTACTTGCAGTTCTGCATCTTCCCAGCCGCCCTCGAGCGTCCCCAGCCATCCTGGCAGCATGTTAGGAATGACCCAAGAGTCCAAGAGAAGGAAGTCAGCAGCATATGCAATATGTAAACAATATATAGATGGCTTTCTGTTGTTCTCCTGTAGAACCATACTGGCATCGTTGTATAGTGTACCCAAACAAGAACCCCCACCACTCTCAAGAGAACCCATACACACGAAAAAAACAAACGCGCACACACGCGCTCACCCACCCGCCTGGCCGCATGTTCAGTTCAATGGACGGAGCGGGGACCGAAAGTGTGGTTGGACCATGTTTACGGGAAGAGGAAGCCGGTTGCGTCACCACCCGAGCCCATGTCTGCCACGAGGATTGCGAGTCGATACGCACGGCGCCTAGGCGGGAGCGCACAGAACGCCGGATATCACGTGCCTGCCACGTTTTCGGGACGCACGAAAAATGCAACGGACCTGGGTGGAAAGCACGATTTCCACCCAGAAACACCACGACATGCGCCTAGGTGAGAGTGCGATTCGACAACGTCCCAATGTCACCGCATGAGGAATAGCATCCGGGTATCTCGCACGCAGTTCGCGGGCGACGCTCAAGCAACGTAATCTAACCCTCCTACAATTTGCTCTCAATGGACAAACGTTATCGTGCTGGCACACTGTTTGGGGAATCAAAATGCTTTTTCGTGGGTTGGTTACTTGCTCAAAGAACCTAGAACCCCAAACAAGCGTACAAGCGCCCGGCACCACTGGGCTAGCAAGAAAAGCCACGAAGAAGTCACGAAAGCTTCCGCGGGGTTTCGAAGTGGCCATAAGTCCAGGTGGGGTCAGGCTGCAAGGCAAGCGAGACCCCAACACCACATTGAGAAGCCATGTGGCAGCACAACATCCCGATATGTTGCTTACGAAGCATCGATAGCATGCACATTTTCTGAGCGCTAATATATGTCAGAGACGTCGGGAAAACAGTACCACGCTCATTTTATTTTGTCAAATGTACTCGGTGTACACACGGGCAGCGCATCAGCGAAAGCTCAGTAGCAGATATTGAATACTGTTCAAAAGTGTTCCTGTATGTTTTCTTCATTATGAACTCATGACTCAACTGACGAGGCCAATTCCAATGACTGCTACCTGATCCCCCCTTTGCGGGTGGTGGGTGTGTGGGTGTGGAGTGGTGTGGGGGGGTGTGGGGGTGTGGGGGTGGGGGGGTTGCGGGTGTGGGGGGGTGGCCAAATCCAGTGCAACAGAGGGAGATGTGAAGACTTACCTGTGGATTCTATCCTGCCACATCTGGTCGACACTGTCAACGTTTGTCGCTGCCTGACACACGACCTTCGATGGGCCGGCCAGGCCCTCGCCACAATGGCTCTGTAGAGAACCGAAGTGACGCAGGGTCGGAGACCTTTGAGCGGACCATGAATCTGATTGGGAGCAAGCTAGGCCTCGGTCCACGCTCGTGCGGCAAAGGTGCATGAACTATGGAGGCCGCGCTGTTGTTCTCAATTCCTGGGCTGTCAACAAGACCCTCTCATGAGTGGACCCGCTAGGAGCCGGGTGGGGTGCTAGGTTTCCTATAGGTTCTTCGCCAATTTCGTTTTCATCAATGATTTCACCAGGTTTTCATCAATGATTTCGCATCCTGTGCCCAGTGCACAAGAGACACCGAACACAACCCGAAATTCTGAAGCACACAAGTATTCACAGCACCTCACAGAAATTTTCACAGATCTTCACAGACTAGTCTGTGAAGATCTGTGAATTCTGTGAAACCTGTGAAATGTGTGAAACCTGTGAGGGCCGGTGAAGGCCTGTGCGAACCAGAAGTCCCAGGCTTCAAGCCCACCCAAACAGCCGTGCTGCTGGATGCTCTGCTTGGTTTATGTTCCGTTCTGCACTTGGTTCCGTGTTGGTTTTTGTTTCGCTTGGTTTTCACAGAAGACTAGTGGCTTCGCGTGAAAATACCAATAGGACCCATCCCGCTTGACACTACCATGTGAATCCTGGTTTTTCTGGCGGCTGATGTACAGGCTGGGCTCACAGCGGCCATTGAAACCAATGAGAATGGAGGATCTCGGAGCTCTCAACATGTCTTCAATTCATTGAACTCATTCGGGTAAAGCTCATTGTGAAGCCATCAGACCTCAAGCATCATTCATATTAATTCGTGCCGCGCTGGTAAAACCAAGGTCGCGCTAGGATGTGAGCAACAAGCAAGGCTAACAGCAAAACCACTGGCATAAGGCTTTCAGTTAAAGAAACTTAGGGTCCCCTAGTGCACATGGCCAGCTTCTCAAAATTGCACTGCAGTGGCAACCCTCCTGAAATGCCATGGCCATCGGCTCGAAATCTCTGTGTGTGGAATTGGAACCACTCGAGGGGTTTCGAGCCTCCCAGCCGCGGCCGAATCCTTTTCTCGGTCATTGGCCACAGGAAAGGGTACGGATTTCCGGCGGAGGGCTTGAGAAGCGGGTTTCCGATTCTCCGTGCGGGTGTCTGAGTGTCTTATTGTCTGTGTGTGTGGATTTGGCCAAAAATATAACCTGTCGTCTTCCGAAACTGAAGAAACTGAAGTGGCACCGTCTCGCCAAGGATCGCGAGTCCACAGCCAGCACCCTCCCCGAGCCAATGCGCTGAGTTACCACACGGCCCAGCTGAGGCTGAACGTACAAGACTTCCAAACCTGGAACACCTGAGTTGGCTGGATATGCTGGATACGGCAGCAAGCAGTCTCAACGACAGCCATGGCAGTAAACCGGGCAAATCGGATTCTCAGTTCGTATGACAAGTGGCTTGACGCGGGGTCACTCATGCCTGAACAAGAGCAGCAGCTGCAGTGATTGGGGGCTGTCGTTACTGCTTTACTTGGCAGGCAAAAGTACTCGCAGAAGGTTCCCGGTCCATCGATCGCTGGAAGAAACACGTTCGAAGGCGCTATCCGCTGGAAACAGTCATGTGCGTTTCAAACTATGGGGTGCTATCTCCAATCTATCTCGTTGATTGCAAATTATGGGCTCCTTGCTGACATTTCGCTGGGTCTTCGAGAGTTCCTGGGAGAACGAATTGTACACATTTCCACCGATCCAAGTCTGTCTGCGTCACCTGTGCAACGTGCAAAGACCTGTGTGATAGAAACCTTAGAGGTGCTTGATACTTATGCTTAGGGCGTTGTTTAGAGATTCGATTTGTCACGACAATACACTCGCCTTCTACCGCCTGCGTTTGCCAGCTGAAATGCGGCACTGGCAGCGGCACTGATGGAAACTCCTGGGGTTGAGAGGAAGGTTTTTTTCGCGTGAGATCACGGGAGCACGGGAGGAGGAGCTTGGGCAAGGAAACTCATGGAAACTCCTACTGAGCAAAGTTCTCAGACATGTCAATACATGTCTTAGACCACCGGCACACAGATGTGGCCATCACATGTGGCACACGACAGTCACGAGAAAGGTGTGCTCTTGCAGCGTCTTGCAGCGTCTTGCGCTGGTCCTCAAGAGGGCGGCGTGGGCCGCGCAGAATCTTGAGTTCAAGCTGCAGATGTGCCATGGGAGGCGCCCGCAGCAGTGATGGCAACACTACCTGAGTGGCTTGGAGAGGGTGTGATCGGCGTACGATTCTTGGTAATGACTTTTGAGACCGGGCCGGTGAAAGCTAGCACCAGCAGGGCGAGGTGGACAGGGCCGGAGAGTGTGAGCTTGCGATGCTCAGTTTGATTGTACGGTGACAGCTAAGGGTTGGAAGAAAAAGGCAGGTCCGGTGCTACAATGGAGAAACGGCTAGGGAGCTGCGTGGGTGAACAGCGCCCCAAGGATAAAGAATGACACTCACAAGAACACAAAACTCAGCCACGTTGATGCCCTGCACATGCACCCCGAAAAAGGGAGACAATGTGGAGACCATGGCTGGAGGGGTGGAGCTCCTATTGGAACAGCAATATCATGTCATTTGGCCTCGGGCTTCTTGTTCATTCAGAAACTTGATCCACAAGAACGATCGCGAGCTGCCAGGGACGGCACACTCACTGCACACTCAGGCAAGCAGCGATGTTCTCAAGCACCGTCAAGGGCACGTCCGGAGAGATCACATTGACAGCATGCTTCAGGCCGACAACGGTTAAGTTGGCGCCCACCGTAGTCCTACCAACACGATCAGTTTGGCGCTCAACGACTACTGTATCTACAACATTCTGCAACAGTCGACAATGTTCGACCCAACGGCGAGTCCTCCCGGTTGCAACTCCACGGAGGAGTACCATGTCCGGATCGGCACCAGCCTGGCACTTGCTGCTGGGACTAGGAACTTGGAGGTTGCATTGAGATCATAAAGGATACTTCGGCTGAAAAACGTTCGAAGGTGCGCAGCAAGTTCCACAGATGGACAACTCCGCGGACAGAATTCAAAAGGGCTGTGGTTTCGCAACCGCTTCACAGCACTTTCGATGTGCAAGGTCGCATGAATATCATGAACTGTTCTAAGATGCCTCCACCAAAGCGCGTCGAACAGGACTCAGCTTGAAGGCCTGCCAAGTCTTTGGCAACGGCTCTTTGGTCGGGACCGTATAACTGCAAGCAATCATGTCCTGCATGTGCACTTCCAAATCCTGGTTGCTTACCACTGCCCTTAGCATCACTCTAATCTAACAATCTCAAGCGCCCGTGTGCTGGTTCGGATCGTCATTGGTGAGATCAAAGGCGAGCACAAGACCCGCTTCGCAATGCTTCGGATCTTGAGCCCTCTCACTGAAAACATCTGCTAAAATCGTCTCGCAAATAGCCCACCGAGTCGACCAGCTTCGGTCTCTGCAGCACTGCGGCGTCCCCAATGTGCCACCGAAACCTTGGGTGAGGGGGGCTGGGGGCGGTGGGGGTTGAGGGGTGGAACTTTCAATGAATTTGCATTGCACTGTCCCTTTTCTTCGGATTCAAGGTTGTTGCAAGATTGAAGTTTGTTGTTTAATTTTGGCTTGGGACAGACCTGCGCAATCCAAGTTAACCCACAGGTCTGTCCAAGTCGAGCTGTTACACACGCAGATCTAAACAAATCGAACTAACAGCACAACGCACAGATCTGCCGAAATCGAGCTAGACACACAGATCTTCCCAAATCGAGTTCTCTACACCATCTTAAGTGCTGAGAAACATTTTAATACGTGTGTTCTTTCCGGTCGGCTACTTTGTACGCATTTTTGTCAATGATTGATTCTCGTTTGGATTCGTATTTGCATTGCGTGAGCGGGAGACATCCCTACTCCACAAATGCAGAAGTTCTTTTCGGCCGGCTGTGTTTTGTATGCATTATCCAGTGCTTATATCGCAAAGGACCGAATACGGATTTTGAGACAAGTTCTGAAACTTCTGGTGTAGGGACTTCTGCTTGAGTAGAAACATGAAAAGAACTTGCATGTATTTTGTAAACTGTGAAGGTGCAAACTAAGCCAAATACACCCTAAAGGTGTCAGCCTCATGAAAATATGTATGTGTGTATGCGTGCATGTATGTCTGTACGTGTGTCAAATACGGAAATGGGTTCATGACGCGTAAACAATATACCTGTGTATGTATGCAAAAGTACATAGATAATCATACATACCTGTGCATCAAAACGAAATTGAAAAAGTGCAAGTACACCTAAAAAAAGGCAGGCCGCACGGCGCATCGCACTCTATCGCTTCCCGAGCAAAACACCCATGTGTGCATTGGGCGGGTGGGGGGGAGGGGGGGTCTTAAAATCCGATTACGGTAGCTTTTATCATTCCCACACCCCCAAGCAGTCCCAAACTCGGGATAGACGGAGATTTTGTCTTTACAGAAGGGCCCCAACAAAACAGGCTGGACCCATAACCCAAAAAAAGCACACACACACACACACACACACACACACACACACACACAGACACACAGACACAATGTAGGATGGCCCCTCCCCCTCGACAGGCCGAGCGGCGCGAGGCCCTCCAGAGATGAGAAAACGTTGCCTTGCCGGTCGTAGGCCTTTCAAAACTCAAAAGCACAAATCCAAGCGTAGACACAAGCACCGCATAGGTGCCAGCAAATCATTTCACAAATTTCTGAATGTAATTAACGACTGCGCATTCCACAACTGACAGAATCGGTTAACATCTGTTGATCGATTGGCGAGGCCTTGACGCCCAGGGTCTCCACATCGTCCACGTTGATCCGTCGAACCGATGTTTCAACCTGGGCGAAGCAAAACGGAGCAGCCGTGAAAGAACAAAAACATCATGGCTTCACCGATCCTCATAGAAGCCGAATTATCCAAATTCTTCTGTCTAAACTGCTTGACAGATGGCCTCGATTCGGTGGATGTTTGCGATGTAGACTTCACATCCTTTGCGCACAGTGGTTGCGAGCGCGGCGAGAAAGCGAGGTGAAGTAGCGGTCCGCATAAGAAGTCTGAGGATCGGAGCTCAATTCCGGTTTCATGAATATCTTGAGCCAGAACCAAGATCTTCTCGACGTTGTCTACCCGATCTGCAACGCTGCGGATGATTGCAACAGGCTGGCCTCAGCTGCTGTCGTAACTGCTACCAACCTGCCCGAGAAATAGTAAGTACATGCCATTACACTTTTACTTGGCTTGGCCCCACGATGCTCCACGTGGAATGTTCTTTGCAACCGAACAAGTGGACAACTACGTGTGAACGGAGAATGGACATAACATGCCAAGCTTCAGCCATCCCCAGCGGCTGTGCTTGGATCATCTTGTACCAGGAACTGACGCCCTGCATGAAGGCATGCCTGGTGAGCAAGCTGCTTCACGCTCTCGCGACAAAACGCGAGCAGTGAACGATTGAACACTCTTTGCATCACTATACGACATACGATTTTAGCTCCGAATGGGAGTTCTCCTCGCCTCCTGGCAGGCAGCTTCTGCCTCCGCATCCGCAGCTCGGCGGGGTGGCAGCTCTTCAGGCAGGGGCTCCTCCAAGGCCACCAGGTCCGGCCTTCGCAGCAAAGAGAACAAGAGCAGGAGTTGTGCATGGAAAAGGGGTTCTTTGATGTTCTTTGATGTTCTTTGATGTTCTTTGATGTTCTTTGATGTTCTTTGATGTTCCTTGATGTTCTTTGATGTTCTTTGATGTTCTTTGATGTTCTTTGATGTTCTTGGATGTTCTTGGATGTTCTTGGATGTTCTTTGATGTTCTTTGATGTTCTTTGATGTTCTTTGATGTTCTTTCATGTTCTTTGGTGTTCTTTGATGTTCTTTGATGTTCTTTGATGTTCTTTGATGTTCTTTGATGTTCTTTGATGTTCTTTCATGTTCCTTCATGTTCTTTCATGTTCTTTGATGTTCTTTGATGTTCTTTGATGTTCTTTGATGTTCTTTGACGTTCTTAAGGGGGCTTCCAGGGACCACGTGGTTTCAAAGCGCCAGGTGCAGCGGCGCGGCGATTGGGACGGTGAATATGGGCGGACGCCCCACGCGCCAGCGCAACGACGCCCGGCGTCCACCGAGAGAATTGTCAATCGTGGCCAGAATTTCGCGGTTGCCCCACATGCCAGCGCACTTTTGAGGAGGTGCGGCGGCTCCTGCCAACCGCCCCGCGCTACAAAACAAATTGAAATTTCCACGAAGTCCATGACATCCATCATGCCAACCATCACGACATCCATCCATGCATCAACGATAACGAAGAACCTTCTCGAAGACCACCTCCGCTGAAAACCCCTCGCCACGCTTTTGGAAGAAAGTACAAAACCGTAAACCCTGTAAAACCCTAAGGCCTCCACCCTAAAAAACCCAAGCCCTGAAAACCTAAACCCTAAAACCAACCCTCAACCACACCAGGGGGGGGGGGGACGCGGTGGGCACAGGAGCCCGCCGGGGCGCAACCACATGTCCGCTCTATCTTGTCGCTTCGCGGTACACTGTAAACAGCTCTTGACGCGATGTCCTCACCTGCGCGGAGCAGAATCATCCAGATCGGAAAAACCTCAAAAGTGTCTGAGTTTTCGGAATATCTATAACTTTTGAATACTGTTGTTAATTGCTGTAGAAGCCCAGCAATGCCTGCCCACGGCCCTGACCCCCGATTTGCCCCGATTCTGCCCTTGCTTCTTTTGTTCAAAACCAGGCCCTGCCCCCGATGCTCTTCGGTTCTCCCCGGTGGCCCGGCCCGGCCCGGCCCGGCGGCCCGGCGGCCCGGCCCGGCCCGGTGCCCGGCGACCCCCTCCCCAGCCCTCCAGCATCATTGTTTTGTTGTTGTCTTAGCTTTTGTGGGCGAGCGAATTTGGCCGAATTGTAGAAAGACACGCCTCCTTTGCTTGTGATGCTTGCCTTTTTGCAAGGGCAACGTCGCTCGAGATTTCCGACAATTCCTGCCTGAATGCACTCAATGTGGAAACTTGGCCACGTTGCAGACGCTCAAGACGTGTGCTGGCGATCGCTCGTTTTTCTGCTACACTTCTGCAAGACTTCGGAAGAGCAGGTTTACTTTGTTGAGGCATGTACCAGAGTAGACTTGAGTTTCTGTGTTGTATGTGTATATGTAGTTGAAAAAGTGGTGGCCCGGGGGTATTGAACAAAATTTGCTTGTAGTCAGAAACATTGCACAAGGGTAGTAACGTTCACCGTTGAGAGCTTCTCAGCGAAGGCAAGGTATGATGTTCTTGATGTGACTGATTGATTTCACACACACCTCCTTTTGGCTTGGGCCAATCTGCAGAAACACTACGTTTCACCGCAATTGTCGTCCTACGGGCGACAGCAATGAAAGTTGTGTCTCCTTGGTCTCCTTCTATTGGTGAAGTGAGCAGACCCTGGAGACTGCGACGCCTCTGTGCCCCATTGGTCTCCAACTTGTCTCCTAATTGTTTCCCTTTTGTGAAGTGAACAGACCCTGGATGCCACGACGCCTCGGACTGCTTCTCATTTGCCACTTGTCTGCCATTTGTCTCCCGTGAAACTAGAAATCCTGGATGCCTTTTGTCGCATGCCGCGGCAGATTCAGGTGGGCAAGAATAATTGGCTTTGCTGTTATCCAAAGGATGAAAAGCAGTGGTCCTGAATTGCTGCTTGGGGGTCGAGACTCCCATCCCTTCTGCTGCCACGCAACTTTTCTCGAGCACTTCATAGGCTTCAGTTCGGTGTGTACTTAGGGCAAATGTTGTGTCAGCTTACAGCCGCCATGTGTATCACTCCAGTCCCCTGAGTGGCATGAGTCCATACCTGGCATGACTTGGCCTCGTTGGAATCGCATTAGATGCAACTAGCCTTGTGCTCCTCTGTGAAAGAAGAAAGTGCAGCACAATGCAGCGCACAAGGGGAGCCTCTGCGAGATCCAGCGGAAACAGCCGCCAGAGGCCTTCAAAGCGCTGATCGCCAGCACTGCGAAGGCTCTTGCTTGGTCGCCAAACGTGCCTCCACTCGCAAGCGTGCCCCGCGGGTTCCGGAAGCACTGGCTGCGCTGACCGTTCCAGGGGGAGCGCCTGCTCACGGCACCATTGAAATCGCAGTGCGAGGGGGTGGCTTTTCGTGTAGCTTTCTTTGCTTGTCGTATCTTGTCGTTAAAGCATTGATTGATGATGTTGTTTTGTTGACTTTCTCACGGTGGGTACCTCGGGGTGGCAACAGCGCAGTGACCACAGAGATCTTTGGTTCGGCAGCACTCGGCGCCCAAGCCTCCGCAGCTGACCAAACAACTGCATTGGATACACTGAACACTCTGGAGCTCTATGGAGCCAAGGCACCAAGCAGAGCGCAAGAGCGACATGCCAGCAGCCCATTCCAACAGCCGCGGATCTACGTTGCTGTGAAGCTGGCTGGTATGGTTGAGAATACTTTCAATATCTTTCTGAAGGTCTGCCGGCTGCGAACTCGATGACACGTTGCCGATACAAAGTAAGGTTGCTCTCCGTCGGCACTAGTTGTTGAACTGCGATGACCTGCCACAAACCCATTGTGAGCTTCTAGCGGAAAAATGTACTGCAACAAAATAAGAATACACAATGTGCTACAATGTGGCCGCTGTGGTGCTGTGGAGCCTCTATGTTGAATTTAAGCTTCCAACGCACAAAGTCGCACTCCACGGAGCTTCCCTCACATAAAAATGAGAGGCTTGCCACTGGCTTGCTTGCCAGGACCCCAAATGAAACTCTACACTTGCAAGTATTGATATACCAGTTCCAGATGCCGCGTCCTCCCAAGCCTTCGGCATGCTAAACTCATCTTTTCCCATCCAGCTTATTGACAACTTCAGCCGATTCAAGGCATCAACTGCGGCGTCGTCGGCGGCGGCTGCGCGAGCGGCTGCGCTTGTCGTCAGGCTCCAAGCTGCAGGGGTTGGCAAAACTTGGCCAAATCTTGCATGTGCTGAAGAAATCAAGATTCGCGGTTCACTTCCCGAGTGCCAGAGAACTCCCTGCCTGGTTGGCGCTGGTGGCGGGTAGCCATATGGATATGCGTGGGGAGGAGGATAGCCGTAAGCCTGGCTTGAACAAGCCAACATAAGCTGCTAGCGTCTGCAACTTTCGGGCAAAAAAAGGCTGCCAAACATTGCCACCATGAAATACCATGAATACCGACCTGTCGCACGCAACCTCTCTACTGTTAGTGTGTGTAGCACGAAAAAAGGCTACAAACTATACTGCAAACTCCCCTAGGCTTGACACCACCCTTGAACTTGCCGGCAAGGCTGCATAGTAATCCGGGGGAGGTGGATAGTAACCTCAAGTACAGCACCAAGCTGGAGGAAGTGCTCAGATTCCCCGATGTTGCGATTGCACATGCTTGCACAACCCAACTGAGCATGCAACCATACGGGTAGCCGCCATAGCCAGGCGGCGGATACCCAGGATAACCTGCAGCGCGCTCAGCTGGGAGACACACCTTGATTTCGCTCAAGCGCAGTAGAGTCTCTCGCAAATCTCGCACAGGCCTCCATAAGGTGGAGGAGGGTAGTAACCTCTTGCAAGCGTCAATGCGAGGGTCAGTGCGAGGGTCAAGGCGAGGGTCAAGGCGAGGGTCAAGGCGAGGGTCAAGGTGCTGTTTCTCAAATAGTTTCTCCTTTCCATTGATTGTTGTAGCGGAATTTGCACGCGCAACTAAAATGTCAGATCCAACGTTTTGCAACATCGAATCACTTTAAAACATTTTCCAAACATGTTGAAACATGTTGACACTGCGCGCCTGGAGGGGGCCCTGGTGGTCCGGGTGGTCCGGGCGGTCCTGGTCCGTGGTAAGCTGGTCCGTTACCTAAATCAAAAACAAGCAGAGACCGTGAAATTTGAAGAACAACGCATCTCTTGCCGAATGTGGGCTGCGGGCGCTCGGCTTCTACATTGTCCTGACACCGCGTGCGACCGCGGGCATGAAAATCAACGCATCACCATCACTTCGCACCATGCACTCAAGGTCACATAGCAGCACCATGTCTTCGCGATCACTTGAACCCATACGTATCCATACTTTAAACCTTACTAGGAGCCATCTCGCTCTCCCTCTCTCTTCTTTCTTGGGTCATGTGCTCTCTCTCTCTCCCTCTCTCGCTCTGTCTCTCCTTCTTGGGGCATGTGGGCAAGCCACACGCGATGCTTCTTTTTTCTGTCTCTCTCTCTCTCTCTCTCTTTCTTTCTTGCCTCCTTTTTGTGATTTGTTCTCTCCTCTTCTTCTTCTTCTGCGAGCTTTGAAACATGCCCGGGCTCTCGCTCTCTCTCTCTCTCTCTCGCTCGCTCGCTCCCTCTCTCGCCCTCCTTGTCTCTGGCTTCTATGTAACAGTCATTGACTTTTTAAACACTTTCACAAGACCTAAGAGCAATCAAGCTTTTCGATAGTCCGTAACTGGCAAACTTCATGCAGCGCTTCAGGTCTTGGCAGGTTGCGGTATCCTTCCGACGCGACAGTCCTCGCAATTTTGTTTTCCGACTAGAGTGTGGATTCTCCCGCAACGCAAGGTCTTGAATAGGTTTTGATCACCGAACCACTCCGACGGCCCAAGGATCGCAAGGGGCCGCAAGGGACAGACCGGGGTGTGGATATGCCTGCGCAGCTTGAGTGCGCCCTGCGCCCCGGTCCGGGCACGTTTTGCTGTGTCAGAGCGCGCTGCGTGGACTTTGCTGCCAGTACCGCATGCACTTGCCGGGCCTCTGTCGCATCATGTCGCATCACATTCAAGCAGCTCCGCATAGGGTCCAGGTTTTTTTTTCGTATTTTTTCTGGTTTTTTTTTCGTATTTTCATGGTCTTGGGTTTAGGGTTTAGGGTTTAGGGTTTAGGGTTTAGGGTTTAGGGTTTAGGGTTTAGGGTTTAGGGTTTAGGGTTTAGGGTTTAGGGTTTAGGGTTAGGGTTTAGGGGTTAGGGTTTAGGGTTTTAGGGTTTAGGGTTTAGGGTTAGGGTTTAGGGTTTAGGGTTTAGGGTTTAGGGTTTAGGGTTTAGGGTTTAGGGTTTAGGGTTTAGGGTTTAGGGTTTAGGGTTTAGGGTTTAGGGTTCACCTGAAACCATAAAAAATACGAAAAAAAAACCATAAAAAATACGAAAAAAGAACCATCAGCCCTCCGCATACGTCTGTGCGTCAGCTTGCACTGAATATGCTATGTCGACGGCGTTTCGTTTTCGCCATGGCGGCGTATCAGTTTTGCCAGGTCGGTCCAGCACCTGCTTAGTTTTGTCCATGTCGGTGCCCGGCATATGCGGCGTCCTATGAGAAAAGCTTGTGCGTCCCTTCTGGGTGGATGTGAAGACCAGAACATGTGCCACATGGCGTGTTCGGGCTTGGGGCCTCTAAGTCGTGCCGGTACAAAGTGACCGACGGTATTGGCGTCAAGGATCACGTGCCCCATCGGTTTACTTAAGTCTCGGACCCACAACATGGCAATGCCGTCTAACACGATGGTAAGCAGGCTTAACTGGATGGAATACACGAAGCCCCATCCACAAGGAATGTCAAAGGGGCATGCTGCAGACCTTCTTGCCACCTTCTCGAGATCGCATCACTTCCTGCATTGCATGATATTGCATGCTTACTGTTGGCGACATGCTCGGCTTCCACACTACAGCCCTTCCATCGGAAACATAACTATAAGTATAACTCCGATACGGTATCATCGGATGTCATAGACACCATGCACCGCTGGCTGATTTGTCCTGCGGCATGCATCGCTTGACCTCGACCCACTTATTGTCGATTTTGTTCAGCTTGTCGTTGGAGAGGGCCGCCTGGCATTTTATGGATCATGCAGGTGACAGATGGTGGCAGCATGTGGCAGCGTCTTGATGCAAACAGTTCAGCTTTTTGGAGGTTTGGCAGTCAGATGACAAGGGAATCCAGGAAACAGCGGCCTCTGTCAACTTCACATGCTGCCAGCCAATGTTTTAGGCTGCAGAGTGATGGTGAAACCCAACTTTTGGCAGACAATTGCACCAAGATGGCGCCAGCCTGTGCTGTTCACAGGCGAATGAACTTCTCAGCATTGTTCACCCAAGGCGGCGAGATAGCGTCGTTGTGATCTGCCTCGGTGGCCTCAAGTTGTTCGAAGGTTGCCACGTGTTGAAACACGCACATCTCCCATCTGCTGGGAAGTTTCCGTGCGGCTTGTAAAGAACAGCTGCTTGCAGCATTGGCCGATATCTTTGCAGCTGACGAAATCTGCCAAACCTAGTCAACATAAATACGTGGTTTCAAGAAAGCGTGCATGCGGGCTTCACTCGCACCAGCAGGCTTTCTGCTGAAAAGATCGGAAAGCACAACTCTGAAGGACATGCACCATGGCTGCTACTTTTCGCCAGGCATGCTGTGAGATGTCAAGGCCGAAACACCCCAGGCCGGTCTGACATCAGCCTAGCAACGGCAGACAATGCAAATGCAACGAGTGCAAGACATTCCAGAAATCCTGCGTCATGCTGCACCCAAGGCAACACAAATCAACACAACGACCCCAGCCTGCTAAGCGCTTCGGTAAAACGGGGAGGGCTTCGCACCTCAGCGAAAAAAACAGCTCCTCTTCCGAAAGAGGCGGCGCCACAGCAACAAACCTTTGCTCAGGCTCCAATATGTCCGGGCCGCACGCTGCGAGTGCCCGGTGCACGTGCCCTGTTCTCGCCGAAGCCAAATGGCTACGTCAAGCTGCATCCAGGCTGCATGCAAAAACCTTCCTTCCAGAGCTCAGAACTCCTAAACACAAAACTCGTCCGCATGAGCCACACCTCCACGCCACTCGGATCTTTGAAAGTGACGAAACCAAAGCCACGATGCCTGCGGGCAGACTCTAAACAAAAGCCAAGGAAAACAGAAAGTCGCAAACTGCGCCAACGGACAGATCAGCCTTTGGGTCTGAGCATCCATCATGACCTCAGTCACCAAGGCTGAATTTGTTCATAAAAATTCCATACATGCTCAATTTGCACATCACCCTCCTTGGACTCCAAGGGCTGAGCCACCGCATCGTGGATTTCTCCGAACTGAGAAAAGTGAGATTTCAGCTTGTCGAGGTCGCAGGAAGCGGGCAGCCCTCCCTCAGGTTCATGAAGGCATGGTGAATCATGGCATGAGCGGGCTGCGCCCCAAGTCTCACACGGTGTTCCGCCAAGTCTCACAGCACCAACTTCACGAGGACAATAGCAGAGAGTACACTTGCTAATTTTCCACGACAGTGCACAACACATGCAGCTGTTGTACGAATTTCAGTGCACACAAGCGAAACCTAGCAGTACAGGAGTTTTGAAAGTTCTTTACCCGCTTGTGAGGCAACGCCATTGGCGATCTTTCAAGGTGTTTGAAAAGAATCTTAGGCTTATCTTGATGATGGCGAAAGTGCTTGGATCCGAGAGGAGGAAGAGCCCTGCAAGCATGGCAATGGTAGTCCAGAAAAGAAGAGGCGAGGGCGCCCGGGGAAAGCCGAGGACAAAACCATGCAGCCTGAGGTACGGAGCACCAAAACTAATCAGAACAGAAAACTTGACATAGCCAAGACGCCACAAATATCTTCACGACATTGTACATTCCACCGCCGGAATCCTCACGGCCCTGTCCGTTCTTGTGTGACCACCAGGAAGCTGAAACGGCTCAAACTTGAACTGGACAAGGCTTGTAACACTAAGCTCATCAGTGGATACAGTCGACCGCTCCTGCTTCCCACCTTGCTTTGTATCGCGCACAGCCTCAGACCAAGCATCACGAATGCATGGAATTTCCACATGATCTGCTTGGGACGTCGGCTCTTTTGCATGTAATCGACCGACCATCGACGGAGTGGTTTGCGCCTAAGCATTACATCCAAAGGCTTCATCATGCACATGGAGCACAAAATCCTACGGACAGCCTACTACTTGCAATCTCTCATTGGCTGCGGCTACATACGGAGCTGCCGTTCCTTGAGTAAACAGGGTCGAGCACGTAGAGCAGATTCCATGGCGCTGCTGGTGGCGAAGGTCACGAAGCCAAAGCCCCGCGATTGCCCACTTCCCTGCACAATTGAAAACGTGCAATGAGACAACAAGATTCGAAAAGAGGACGGCCTCACTCACATGAACGGAGACAAGACAGAATTGGAGGCTCCGGTGAGTTCAAGCCAATGAGAAAAAAGAACATGGACCGCGCAGAGCAACGCAACCACATCAAAGGCCCTCGACTTCCACGCCCCTCTTTCACTGCCATTTGCTTCACAGAACGGAGATACCCCGCTGCTACCCACCCCCCGGTGTGCTGACTCAGGGGATGCCGACAGCCCTGAACTGCTCCTAGGACTGACCAGTTTCGTATGAAAGCCGGGGTTGCATCAACAGGTTTTCGGTTGCACTAAGACTTGATCGAGGCCAACTTCAGGAAAAAAGGAAGGGGGAAGGAAGAAACGACCTGTGGTCCATGACCACGGCCTCCCACACCTCCCCGCCGCCCAGAATCTAGGGGGCCTCAACATCTCAAAGCCCGGAAAAATTGACAGTAGCCTCGACTACCGGAAAAGGTACCAAAGGGGCTCTAACGGGTCAGGCTTTACTGCAGCCGAGCTCTTAGAGCACCACGGATCAGGCTCTAGACAGTAGTCCAGGACAACCGTCCTGTCCCCTGTACCACAGGAGCAGAAACGGTCGTTCGGAGCAAGAATTGCATCGCTCTCTCTCTCTCTCTCGCTCTCGCTCCACACGCCAAGACCCCGCCGAAAGGAAGCTGCCCCGAGGCTGCACACTTCCACAATCCTCCTTTGCTCGGCTCGGCCTTGTCCAACATAACCACGCACTCGGCGATCTCACCATACTGCGCGAAGTGATCCCTGCAGCAGCTACGCTGTAAGTAAGGGGCTTTCGCAGACGTAGCTGCTGAGACGAGCCCCAAAGCAGAATCTGACAACTACGCTAACTGCCTGTGCGCTTGAGCACGGTCTACTCGCCAAATTCTTGGCAGCAATTGGCCGTCTATTTTGCCACTCTGGTACGTTTTCAGCACATCTGTGACAGTGACGAGGCTGCAATGTGTCATTGTCTGCACAATCTGCAGATGATGTGTCAAGAAGGCTTTGATTGCACTGCTCGGCAACCCTCGTTACGACAACATTGCGGATTCCCTGTGGCCAACTGAAACGCCTACAAGCAAAAAACTACAGACTACAGGCTGAAAGAAAGCAAACCGCTGTCAAACCCCTGGTGGAATACCTTGTTCATTTCTCTACACCCAAACAACATGTCATAGCTCATCTCGATGAAGTTTGTGAGAGCCAGGGGTTTGACATGTGTGGTCTCTACTGCAGTGAGGCTAAGTCTAAGCCTGGGTGCGGCTTCAACTATCCTAACTGGCCTAACTATCAGAAGGCGCAGCGAAACCTGCTCTCCGCACTCATGAGAACACAGAATCGAGGCTCAACCCGAGACCAAGGCTCGCGCTCTAAGCTTTCCTTAGTTGTGGCATGCGCCAAATTGCCGACGTACACCTGCACAGCATGGAAAACGCTTTGGCAAGAAATTGGCATCATTGGCCTTGGTGTCAGAACTGGCCATGGATCATAGCTCCGTCCAAACAGGAACAGTACGCGCTATGCTCCACAAGTATGTACCACCGTGTATCATGTTGTGCCGGTTGTAAGCTGCAAGATGTTGCAGCGACACTCGTTGACGTGGTTGATGGGGCTTCATCTTTGCAGTTCTTGGGTGACATCATGTGCATGCTGTGTATTCAGCAAGTTACAGCGCAGACGCAAGGGGAGCCAAAAAGCGCATGCACTTCAAGTCTCGGTGCCGGGGTTTCGTTTCTGCTCGGATTCCTGATTTGCAATGCTTTACAACTTTGAGTTGCCAGCGATCCCCGAAACACCCTAGATTCTCGTCGAAGCCCGGCAGCTGTCAGCTGCCTGCCCGAGCAACATGACATGCCCTGATTGACGGAGTTTGCAGGCTTATGCTAATTATGCGAGTTGATGCTAATTGGTTGTCGGAGGGTCAGCTACTGCCTTGAGCTTTGCAGTGCTCACGACCAGCTGCATCCACGAGTGGTGCACGACTGAAAACCGACACATACACACGTACATATATGTATATATATATATATAAATATATATGTATATATATATATATGTATTATTTATTTATTTCTATATATATATATATATATTTATTTGTTTATTTATTTATTTACATTTAAATATTTATCGATTCTTATTTATAACTTTTTGTATGTATATATCTATATATGCGTATATGCTACGGACCACCCCTCTCCGGCACCAACCAATTTCATACGTTTTTGCCCTGTTGCACGTTCTTGCAATGCCCGTTGCTTTGAAATATTTTCAGCAGGACTGGTGCTGAGAAACTCCGAATGTGAAGAGATACATGTTTTGGAGGAATCTTCATTCTTCAATATTCAAAATGGGGGACCGGTTCAAATGGTTCAACATGCATCAGCCGATTCAAGTTCATCTATATAATGAAATTGCTGTCTAAACCTTTAATCAAACCCACCCCAAAAAATCCACCCCCGCCAAAGTGTATAAACGTGCACAAGGAGCCAAAATAGGTAGATAGTTGGGGGGGGTACAAATACATCGACCAGTTTCTAAGGAAGAAGATGTAGGGAGCAAGAAGACGTGGGGAACAAGATTTAGGGATTCAGGGAATGTGACTTAGGGATCCCGCTCTTCAGGATTTAGCGAAAAGGATTTAGGTAACTTTCAAGGATCGGCTGTTCTCTTTAGGAATTAAGGACCACCCGCCATATGATTTTTACAGTAGGAACTGGGGAAGAAGACTGAGGAAATAAGCTTGCGAGAACAGGATCACACCGTTTAGGGATTACGGAAACGGATGGTCTTTATGCTGTAAGGAGTTTAGTCAATAGGATTTAAGGAGCCCCTCTTTCGGGCTTAGGGAATAGGATTCAAGCAGAAAATCAAAGAGAATAAGAAGTTGCCCGCCTTTTAGGATTTAGCGACAAGATTTCGGGTATAGAATTCTTTCTTTTCGGATTTAGGGTTCTCCTGGGGGCTCGCCTCTTTAGGATTCATAATGAAACTAAGGAAAGAAGATTTAGGGAATATGATTTAGGGATCCCGCTCTTCAGGATGTAGCGACAAGGTTTAGGAATCAGGTTCATCTTCTTAGGATATGAGGCTCCTAGCTGCTATCCCACCGTTTTAGAACGTCGCGAGAAGGATTTAGGGAATAGGATCTGCTTTTCAGATGTAAGGGCCCCCCTTCTTAGGGTATTAGTAACGGTACTAGGGAACAGGTTCCCCAACCCCTAAGGGAGGCGTCCTGAAACCCTAAAGACAAGCGCCCTTAGAGGTTACAAACCAATCTGATTCCCCAAGTCCTTTGCGCTAAAATCCTAAAGAACCGGATCCCTAAATCATATTCCCGAAATCTGTTTTCCTTAATTTCGGTCCGTAGGTCTTATTCCTTGACCCCTGAGGAGGGGGGTTCCTTAAATCCAAATCCTATTCCCAAAGTCCTTTCCGCTAAGTTTTCCGAAAATTTTCCAAGCACAAAATCTTGGTTTCAATTCTATTTCTCACAATAAATCGTTCATTTCTGTCGCTGCACCACCCCGCCCCCCCAGACCCTGAAACCAACAAGTTTATCAGAAGGCCTTAGAAAAGGTATGAGGCGGGGGGGAGGGCACCGTATATTTACATATAGATATATATATATATACATACATATACGTATACATATACAGAGCTCAACATCGTGGAGGGGCGCCTGGAAACGGGCCAAGCCGAAGGATCAAGGAGCTACCGGTATATACCTTTCCGAAAGCGTTTTTCCGAAAGGGCAGACCTGGAGCAGAGCGTGAGATCAGAGTTTTTCGATGTACAATCTTGGCCATGTGGCACACGTGCAAAATTTTCTTGAAACGTGCGAGCCTCCTGAGAAAGGAAGATGCCGAAAGATGTGTCGCTGACCAGTGGTTACTGAGTTTGTCTCTTAAGGAGAAGGCGAGCTACACGAGGGACTGTACACCACATGCCCGAGCTGGCGGGCCATGGTGGGCCTCGTTCGGCAGCTGAAGCCGGAGGTCTCGGATGGCCGCACCTATACGGGCCATGTTGCCGAGGGAGACCCTACGAGCGCGGGGGGTTCACCAGCCCATGGCCCTTTATCTCAGCCCACTGCAGGACACACAGCTCAGCCCAAAAGAAAAGAAATCAGCCCAAAACCCGCTCCCCGAGGGCACAGCGGCGTCAACAACGCCACGGATATGACGAAATGTTCGCGTTCTCCCGTGTATTCCATAGTTTTGAGTGTTTTGGTATATGCTTGGAGCAGTATCTCATGATCCTGTCCCCGAGGGCACGGCCACAAAACAGAGAAGCACAACGTGCGGCAAGAGACTTTTGAACATGTTGGCGTTCTCCCGCGTAGGACATAGTTTTGAGTGTTTTGGGATCGGTTTGGAGCGGTATCTCATGACTTCTTCATGGCCACGAGACAGCAACAACATAGCATCTTGTGACTTTCTTCCCCCCATCGACAGATGTTTGGCGTTTACATAGGGTTTAGAGCATTAAGGTTTTTAGGGTTTAGGGTCAAGCCCATCACAGCATACATCTATAGGACACAACTCCCCACCCATCTGTGGTGAGACATTATCGATACCCCATCTATACCAAATCGATACCCCGCGATACCCGAAACCCCCAAAGCAAGGCCACAGTTAATTTCTCTGTCCCAGCCTACTACCTCACAGGCCTGAGGGTTTCAGGGTTTAGGGTTTGCACGGAGTTGAGGGTTTCAGGTTTTGGGCCTTACTCTAAACTGCAAGAAAAAAACTCGCAGAGGTGGGGTCTGTTATGATGATCATTCTCAGGCTCAGGACCTGCAGCGTTTGGTGGGTGAGATCGCTGCACACATAGTGCAGTTTAGGGTTTCGGGATTTAGGGTTTTACGGCTTGAGGGTTTGTTGGGCGGTTAGGGTTTAGGGTTTGTGGCTGAGGCTTTCAAAGTGGTGCCGACATTCGTGTTAGACATGAGCACACCATCCGGCAAAGTACTCAAAAAAACCGTCTATTGACAAGAAATCCTGCCGTGCCCCCGCGTTTCCTGTACGTGAGCTGACTTATTATGCAAGGTCTATTCATTTTAGCAATTTGCGCATCCCCTGGGCACAGACAGAATGGGCTAGGTTCTGGGTGGTTGGGCGGAGCAACCCCTTCCACCCAGTACAAACACCACGAGAGTGGTCAATCGCGTTTCGATGAAACCGCGGTGGCTCGCAGCGACACACCGCACACCGAGGTGGTCACGTTCATGAAATTGTGACTCCGAAAAGACTTCGAAGATGCTGGCTCCGAAAATGCACAACAAGCGCAACTGTCCGCTGGGCGAAACACTGGCGCCCGCCCCCTGGCCTTGTAAAGATTAACTTTTCAAGAAGACATGCACAGAGGACACGCAAGTTCTATTGAAAAACCCTTCGCAGCGCTTTTGGGAATGATGAGCTAAAGGGATGCAAAGGTCAACCTTCCGAGCTCAGTGGGTTTTATGACAGTGCATAAAGGCTTAACGGTTTACACACAGCGTAAAGCTTTCGTTTCTTTGGGGATCCAATGCGGTCTTCAGGGTCACACAGTTTGGTTCTGTGAAGCCGCAATTACATCTTGTACATCCAAACTTGCACATTACGTTCACGAAAGATTGATAAACTTTGCCCTTTGCTTTGGCTCATGTCAACATTTCAACCGCATTTGAAGTCCGCATCTCAAAAACTGATAGCCTCTGGACTGGAGATGGCTCTTT